TGTGGAGCTATGTCAGAGAAAATCAGTAACTCTGTACACAAAGGACCTCGTGACACCAGTGTCTGTAACAAAGAGTAGCTTAAACAGGGCATGGTGTGGGCAGATGCTTATGCGCGAACTATTTTGGATGCTTGCAAAATGAATCATTTTCAAATGAACCTTAAACAGGAACATTAGATTTGTCAAATTTATTATAAAATATTTCAAATGTAAACTGCGTTTAAGGAGAGTGCCCGCTATGGACCATAACCATACATGGGTGCTATTAACTGGTGTCCACTTGTCTCTGTTTAGTGGAGACAAGTTTTCTCAAGCTGCTCTCCAGTTTACAGTAACCATCATTATTTATTTTAGGATCAATCAGACTAGTTTACAGCATTTACTACTGTTGATGGCTGGAAGAGGTCTAACTGACCATGTGTAAGGCTCAAATGCTGTTTGAGCATCGCAGTAACTTTCCTTGCTTTGCTGTCAAAGGCCTGAGCTGCTTGGTTATTTTTCTGACCTGGAACTGATGGGGATCTTTGCTCATCAACTTCTGCAGAGCTCTGGAGACATTTTAGCTCTCTTACAGTATCCCTGCTTCTTTAATACTGCTTTGAGCTGCTGCAGATGCACAAAGCCTCAAATTGCCACCTCTGTCTTTCATACCTGCTTTGGTGCCTGAGCTGTGAAGATACTTGTGGCTTTCCAAGGCATAAAGTGCAGAGAGATGTGGCTGGCTTGGAAACACCTCCCACCACCCAAGTCTTGCGTGGTCCCTCTCTCTCCAAAGAGTAATAACAGTTCCTGGGAGCTGTGCCCATCAGTGCTGATGGCCTTCTTCCTCCTCTCTTTGCCATTAGATGCTCATGAGTATTTAATCCCATGTGGAAAGCAATTGTTGGGCCTCCTGCTTGCTCGGTCTGCAAAGATGGAAATGCCATCAGGCTGCTCTGATGAGGTTACCCTTCTGTATATCATACTCAAAAGGAGAACAATCTCTGCTGCCAGTGTTTAAACAAGCTGTTTTGAGGAAATTGTCTTCTTTATTAAATGCTCAGGCAGGAGTCTTTTCCTGTTCTTTGTTTTCCATGATAGCATGTAAAGAAAAAACAGTTGGGTATGAGAGCAGAGGTAAATCCTGTAGTGCTGGATTTACCAGCAGTTCCCGCAGCCCTTCATTGACGTAAGACCATCAGACTTGATGATGCACACCATGTGCATCATCATGACAGCCATATGTGTGTCTTCAGCAGAATAAAGTTTGAAATGAGGAATCTTTGAACTTGTTTCGTTTCTGTGCTTGGAATGAATTTGGTCACGTATATGAGGATTATGTAATGTTTGGTGCTTATGATTGCAACATTGCTGGTGTCTGAGGATAGATGGCCTGATGTTTGTCTTAGTTCCTTTGTTGGGTTCCCTGTTGTGCAAAGCCAGGCTGCACATCCATCCTGTAGCCCCTGCTGCCAAAACAAGGCTCTGGCAGTGATGAAAAGGGACGAGATATGATCTGAACCTTTAAGAGCAAAATAATCAGGCTTAAAAAAATGATTCCTGAGTTACTAACCTTGGTTATGGCACTTGCTCTGGTGTTTTGGAGCAGTGGGTTTGGACTGGAATGGGTACAGAAAAGCGTCTTTGAATGACATTAGTGAACACAGTATTGCAGTGACTTCACCGCTCCACACACCCCCTTGTTCCTAGAGACTGATTTGATACCTTTCCTGCTAGTTGGCAAAGGTAAATATGTCATCAGTTTTAAAACACTTCGACAGCTGCAAAGGTGCCTTGGATCTTTTTTTTTTTTTTTCTTACTTAGAAGTATCATTGTTTTAAAACTTAATCCTCCGAGCAGCAATTGTAACTTATATCTGGGTGCAGGGTGGTGGGTGTCTGCTGGGTGGAGGTGGCTTGTCCCTGAGAGGAGAACTTGGGACCTGTTAGCAGACTGAATTTGCCAAGTGGAGTGAAAAAAAGTCGTTTTTCTCCAAGTTGGCAACTTTACACTACTGCTTGCAGATATAAATGAACTTTGTCTTTTGAGGACTTCTGTGAGGCAAGTGCTTTGAAATGTGTATAAAGGAATGCTTGTATGGTTATCTATTTAGGAGAGTTAGGCAGTTACATTAGCTTCGAGCTACCCTGTCACATAACAGGGGGGAGCACAAAGCACCTATTTAGCGTTTATAAAATTTGTGCTGAACACGGGTGGTACAAAACCACTTCCCCAGCATCTTTCTCTTTGGAAAATAAGATGTTTTTTACAGTGCTGTCAGATAGCAGGGCTTTGTTTGCCAGCTCTCGTGAACAAGTAGCGTGTTGTTGTGCCGCCTTATCACAAGGTTGTTTGTTGGCAGGAATGTTTCAGGTATTCCTTATGCAGAGCTTGGAAATGCCTGATCCGAAAACCTCATGTGGCTCCAAAGTCTGGTGTCTTTCCAAAAGTGAGAACTTGGTACATGTTGGGCTTTTGTTTGGCAGACTTTATGGCAGTCGTGTAATCTGCTGGTCAGCACTTCCTAGAGGTGGTTCTTTCGGAAACATAGAGCAACAACTTTGAACTATTATGAAAACAGGATTGTTTTTTAAGGCTATAAAAGGCATCCATCTTGTTCTTCTTGGCACAGTTTTTTTGGTCATTTGTAGTCAATGCTCTTAGTCCCTGAAAATCTGAAACTAACCCATGTAAACAACTTTCTTCCACAAACACTAGCTGTGGCTTTGTTCCCTGAGCCACTTTTTACTGGAAAGCTGCAGGGCACCTGGCTTCTTCCTTTCCTCCCCTATAGGCAAAACATGGAAAAATCTCTTGCACTTCTAGTCCCTATTGCAGAATTAGGTGCAACATTAAGGTGCTATTTCTGTCCTAACACAATTTGCTGAATTGCAAAAGAAGCCGTTTGAATTAGGTGCAATTGCATGTAAATATTTTCAGCCTCCAAATATTGCATCAGCATTCATTTTCCCTCTCTGCCATGCACAATTGCTCACTGTGTAGAGTGGCAGATTACATAGCTGAAATTACGAAAATATGTAACAGTGTTTCTAAAATGTCACTTGGAGTTGCTTGAAATTTTGGCAGACTTGTTTTTAGCTTGTTCTTTGTGATTAAAATCTGCAAGGGGCAAAATTTACAGGAAAACCTGAAGAAAAAAGGGTCAATAAGAGTGACTTCTGGGGAATTAACTCTGTCTTGACTCTTCTGATTATTTAAAGTATCTCTGGTGCCTTGTTGTGAATTTGGATTATAAATTACTGTCAACCGGGTCAGTTTTATTCCTGTCCCTATGCCTCAATTGGTGGGGTTAAATATTCATTAAGCATTTCTTTAAGCTTAGAACCCCAAATCTAATTCTTTACCAAAAATCCACCTAATTGCATAGCAAGAAGGTGTCCTAGAAATTGAAGCTGTTTGCACGTGCATGGACACTAGTGTTTTTTCATCATTAACTTGCTTGAACAGTGTGTGCCACTTCATAGCTTCCTGCAGGATCCAGCTATCTTGCAAGCTTTCCCACTAGAGCATCTCTGCCCAGGGAAAAGCACACTGAGTTGACCCATGGGGCAGAGTAAAAATGATGCTGCTCCTGGATACTCCTGTGGGCTTCACAGCCCTTCTTGAGCACCAATTCATTTAAGTAGACCAGGTTGATTGGCTTAAATCAGATTTAAGTCAGGAGATGGGAAATCATTGTTTAAAGAATCAATTTAAATTTTGTTCTGTAGTTTTATCCTTATCTTCAGGAAAATTGTTAATAACTGAAATGTTTGCAGCTACACTTAGTCAATAATTCCTAAATGTGTTTCAGCCTTTTGGCTTGCTTTATGAGTACACTTACTCATATGCTTCACTTGAAACAGTTCTAAACTTTTCTTAAAAAGTAAATGGATTTGTTTTATAGTTGTGTGGTTAATGAATTTCCAATTTTGTCCAAAGATGCTCAAAACCCACATAGTAGTAATTTCCCCAGCAGGCCAGAGGGTATGTAACAAACATTCTTTGACTTTTGTATTTGTCATCTTGCTGTTAAAACAGTTCCCATATCTCTTTTGAGAGCTGTTTCTGGTCATTGATTAGGGCTTCGCAGAGAACAACCCTAATCACCCCTCTGCCTCTGGCACCTTATCTTTGTGAAGAGAATGAAAACATGACATTCTTCTTTTTAACTCCCAGTTTGGACTGGTTTGGTCGCTGAACTGAGGTGCCTGTTGGTCCAAATCCATAAAGGTGCAGTGCACTTGCAGCACAACCTGCTGCTCTGTCTGCCTCCACAGTCACCTCTTCTGGGCTTTGGCTGGATCCGTGTTCCTGGTTAAGCTTCCTGCAGATGAGGACTGGGTATCGTGATGATGGCCCTTTCCTAGAGCAGATACAGCAATCTTGTTCCTTACTTTGACAGTTTTGAAACTAGCATTATTGCATGCACCTTGTTGGTGTCCACTTAAAGTTTGAGTATCTGTTTTAATTGGTACTGTCTGTTCAGATGAAGGAACGTGTTTCTGTCCCAAAGAATGGAGCACATTGTTATGAAAGTAAAATGATGGTAATGAGTGTCCAGTTCAGTTTTCTTACAGTAAAGATCTGGGGGATGGAGAGGGAGCTTGCATCGAAAAACAGAAAAAAAAAAAAAAATTCAGAGACAGGTATTCAAGCTCATTTCAGAAGGTGGTTGTGCAGATTTGGCTATTCCTCCTTTCACCTGTGAAATGACAGTTTCCATGACTCTCTCTATACTGGTCCCTGCCCTGTTTCCTTCAGCATTCCCTGTTTTGAAGCTGCCAAACTTTTGTTTGATCTTGCAGCCTTAATATTTCTTTGATCTTGTGTGTATATAAATAAACCAGGGAGGCATTTTACAAGAGATTCATAACCTTCTTGCAAAGGTCTTTTAAACTATAACCTGAGACAGTGGGTCATTGGTGGGGGGCGGAGTGGGTGGAGCAGGATCTTTATTTATTCCTGTATTTCATCTTTGATGCAAGCTGAGAACAAATCTTTTTTCATCTTTGCAGATACCAGCTACTGACCATGTCAACAGAGTTCCAGGATGCTCACCTTGCAGAGGTGAAACCTCTGGTGGAGAAGGAGGAGGTGAGTATTTTAGAGCTTTTTAGTGCTTATGTGTTTTATTTCAGGGCTGCTGTTGGAACTGCATATGTGTTCTTAGATTAATTCTAACATATTGTATTGAAGAAACAAGTAAGAGGAACGGGAGATGAATTAAGAGAGTGTTTTTTTAAATAATGCAAAACAACCTTAATTATTTCCTCTTTCTCAGTCTTTGGTTTTCCTTTTATCTAGTGCTAATCTGGTACTGACTTTTTGTTTTCTGAATAATTAAAAATGTATGTCTTCAGCTATTTTGAATGGTGACAACTGCGCCATCTCATGCATATCAGTCTATAGCTATAGAACTCTCAATGTAGAGATACAAACTTTGCTCCATTAGCTTTCAAAGAGGCACAGAGAGAACCTTTACCTTTATTCTGGGCACATCTGGGTCTGGAGGTACGACTTTGCCCCATCTCGTCCTTTCTGACTGCGCTGAGCTATGTGTTACAGCCAAGCTGCTACCAGGTCTGGAGCTGACTGGGTATGCACAAGACACAGCCATTCCTCTGGGGTTGCAGCATAGAAATGTCTTCAGCCTTTTTTACTTAACCTTGTTGTACTTTCCATTTGTTTTCCCACCATTTTTCTCCAAAAATCTGCCCACAGAGTCTGGGTTCAGTGGGTGTTTGACTTTATTCAGTGATAACAATGCTCTGTGCTTTGGTATGTTCATAGCAAATAATTCACTGTAATATGTGAAGGAACCTCTCAACTTTTTTCTTGAATCAAAACTAAGATTTTTCTTTTGTTCCCTATAATTGTAATTCCTGACAATGACATACATAAACATGCTGAGTTTTTAGTTTGGTTTTGGGGTTTTTTTTTACACTGGAACTATTCATTGCTCTATCTGCTACTTTCTCTTTTATTCCCTACCTCTTTTCTGTAAACACTTCAGAAAATCATTTCCACTTGTGACTGTAGTGAAATGGCTAGAGAAACTTTAAACACTGCTCCTTTGCCAAGAACATTGCATGAAAGCAGAGCTTGTTTGGATACCAGTGAATGCAGTACTCAAACTTTTTAGAAACTAAGATCCCTTTTTAATGCCAGTGTTGTTCAGTAGTAGCAAAGCGAAGCAGATACTAAGCAAAAGTCCTATGGATACTGAAATGCCTTTGCTTCAAAGTGCAGAAATATCATAAAACACTGATTAACTACCTGGGTTTCTGTAGCATGCAGGTCAAAAGTTGATATATTAACAATTAAACCTATATGCTTTTATTCATGATGTTAAGTTTTGTCTGCGTGGGGAAACTAGCAGAGGGTTTGATTTCCTCTGTGGCCATTCTTAACATAAAGTGAAGGAAATTATAAAATATATTTCAAGAAAGTGGAAAAGATTGCCCTGAAGGACACTCAGCACATAACTAAGATGAACAGTTGCATCCTGGCTTGTTGTACCTAGGTTTCTTCTACAGCTGAATCTTTGTTCTTGGACAGTGATGGAGCTTTATTTCATATGCTGTCTCTAGACAGATGCCATATCTGCATATTCCTTTCAATTCTAGACACCACTGTAACACTGGTGTATGAAACTGGCTGTGTTTAAAAGGGCCATGAGACCACAGTATAGTAAGATTTTTTTAAAAAAGCAAATTGTCTAAAGCTAAGGCTGTGTAAGATGATTTCCATAAGCTCAGTTACCTCTTTAGATACCTATTTGTATATACAAGACCTTGCCTGATTACCTGAAGATCATGGCTCTAGAGTCCTGTCGTACCTATGGGTTGGACTGCTTTGAGGTCCACCATCTGAGATGGTATTGCCCAAGACAGCAGCTGTATTGCTTCTGATGTCTTCTATCCTTAATTTACCTGGGCTTCTGGGACCGCATGATCTCCCTGCCAGGGTCCTAAGCTTTTTATCTCTACTTCTTCAAGCTTTGGCTTCTCTCTTGTACTCTGCAGTGTAACAAGTGTCAGTTTGGTTGCTCTCCATCTGAGAACCCCTCAGTAGAAATATGAGCTTGACTTCTTCCTTATCCTTTAATAAAAGGAGCTGACTGTTAGACACTTCTTCCTTTAAAGAAGGAGCCTTTTAGACTATTGGAGGTGGGGAGGAGGATGAGGAGGATGTCACCTTATTCCTTTTCTGGTGGAGATCCTTGACAGACACAGGAGCTTGTCAGTAGTAAGTGGTCAGAGGTTGGAATAGACCTCTCTGTGTCCAGACAGCCTCTCAAACACAACAAGGCCTGTTTTTGGCTAGGACAATCCCTTCCTACCTTTCACATCATGTAACCAAATCTCTGAGATAACTACTTATTTGAATTTCAAGTGCTCAAACAATGGCTTTCCATCCTAGCAGGACTGAGGTGGGCTGTCCCATAGCTACAATAAGCAATGGAGAAAAGTTCTTTTTTTTTTTTTTTTTTTTTTTTTATATTGCTCTGACTGGTCCAGTGGTTCAACATTAACTGAAGATGTACTGGCTTCTGTGCTTTATTTTGCTGGTCTATAATCTCGTATTTTACTGCTTTCATCTTCTTTGTGAAGATTAGTGGGTAAAAGCTCTTGGGTGAATTTTGACGTTCAGCAAGAGTCCTTTCATTGGATAACGGGGGCAGGATAGAGCTGTTAGCTGCAGAACCACTGAGCTATAGCACACGTGTCCCAGCACAGATTTCTGTAGCTACCAAAGTTATCTGCATTAATGCTTTAAAATCTCTTCACAGGTTATCACTCGCCTCCTTCCAGACTTCGATGTTCAGGCAAGTAAAGCTTTTTTTTTTTTTTTTTTTGGTAAAAGGGCAAACTGAGTTGACATCTGAGAAAACAGCAAAATGTGGTCAGAAATGACTGACTGCTCGCCAGAAGTGCTGTTACTGTGGGAGAGAGCTCTGAAAGGGGCTCTGATGTAGCGATGTGAAGGGCACTGCAGGAGGTCTTTTCAGACTGAAGCTGAGAAAGTTTCATCCAAAAGAGGTGGCTGGGTTGCAAGCAGAGCTATTCTTGCAAAGAGAATGAGATTCTTCAGCAATGGCAGTGAAAGCAAAATATTCCCCTCCCACATGGACACACACTTTCCCCAATTAATTTGCTTCCATTAGCGGTGTGCATGCTTTTCCTCAGAGGAAATGTCCCTCTCAATGTATCCCGTTATGCTGTTGAAAGTTTCCAAAAGATTCCTGAAGCCTGTGGAGTGGTGGAAAGCGTTAAGCAATCAGTTTTGCCTGTAACAGGAGTGACGGTAGTTTCCATATGTTTCTTTACGGCCAGAACATAAGAGTCTATAAAGCACACCACTAGTTCAAATGGTGGCTTTCCACTTTCCCCATGTGTCATGCTTTTGAGAGATGACTTTGTAACTGTTTCAGCTTCTCTTCTATGTTATTTTATTGCCATTTGGGCTTTTGACTGCTAAGTTTGTCCTCACTGGTTCTTAAACTGAAACTAAGGAAATGCATGGCTGTCAGTCAAGGTGGGTTGAACTGGGAGGGAAACTGGGGAGGTGGTACTTGCCTTGACAAAAAGAATGAGCAATTCTTTGAGTGAATTTCTGTCACTCAGGACAGGAAGGAGTATGTGTTAGGAAAAGACACTTGCTGGATGTATTACTTTTATGAAGAAGTATAGGGAGGGAAGTAGATTGTGCAGGAATAAAGCAAGCTATTAAATTGTTCAAGTCTCCTGAATGTTCAGGTGGAGGTCCTTGAAGGAAATAACGCTTCTGTACTTTGTGGCACGTTTCACTTTATTTACACCTGTCTGTATTTTTATTCAATGATGTGCAAATTGGTTAAAAATCCATCACAAGTTCAGCAGTCTCTTCCCTGGAAACAAAAGGAGACAGTTATCTCAAACATCTTTTACAACATTTCAATGGTTCTTATATAGCAATGGTTCTTCTATAGCAAAACTGCAGTTTACATTAATCCTGCATCTTCCCCGTCATCCTTTCTAATGATGAAATCCACTGCCTGAAGTCTTAATAAATGTAAGTTAAACTTGACGCCGAGCAACTTCCTGCAGGACTGTGCACAGCCTGGGAGAAGCTTGCTGTTTGGGTTCAGATTGATCACTTGGTTTAAATAAATCTGAATCCCAGATTAAGTCTGCTAACAGGAATACTGCAGTATTTCGATTAAGAATCCAGAAGTGACCCATATTTAATTTCTATTCTTGGAATAAATTTGCTTGGTTTGTAAACCGTGTGTATGTATAGATTTTTATTTTTTTTTTTTTTTTCAACTTGGAAGATCAAATTCTCTAAGCCTTTTTGAGGTTTTTTTGCCATGTTTTGGATTAACTGTCACTAATCCAGACCAGTGGTTCTTGTCATTTAGCACTGTTCTGCCAGCTCTTGTTTTTAATGATTTATTTTTTTTTTTCTTCACTTTTAATCTTTGGTTGTTCTAGTTCAGGAAGGAAAAATGGGGAAGAACAATCTCAATCAGTTATGTTAAGAACTGCTGCTGCAAAGGTGGCTTAGCTTTGGCCCCTTAAAACCACAAGTCCCCTACCTGTGTGTCTTTAAATTCCTCTGTGGTTGATTTATGGAAAAGGTGGTTTGGAGCTGTCAAGAGAGCCTTGATTACTTAGCTCCTTAGAGAAGTTCATGTGAGGTCCTGGAGGACCCAGGTCACTCAGGACTGACAATAAATCTCATATATGCTCTTAATGAGAAACCTATCCCTTGAGACATGCTTGGGAAGAGGATGGACCTGGCCAGGGAAGGAGGTGATCAGCGCTTGGCAGGATGGAGATCCTTATTTAGTGCCTATGTATGGATGTGGGTGTCTACCATATCACTTACAACTTGTTCCATTCTTTTGAGGATGAGTTTTGCAATGTTCAGTTTATAACTACATTTCTGCCACTAGTGAAAAAGTAGTGACTACTTGAGAGGTGTGTTGGTTCCAAGAATAAATGCTATCTAGCTATTCAGATTTGGAAAGAGCTAAACTCTTATTTCATGTGCTGTTTTAGACAGACTTGAGTTAAACATACTTTTCCATTTTTTTTAAGTAAGCCACTGTATAGTACAGTATTGCCCTTCTGAAAGCACACATTGTGAGACTTGTGCGTGGTTATTCTATGGAGGAAAGCTTTCATGGCGTTTCAAGGGGATGGCCAAGACAGAGATGGAAGAACTAACAGCTCTGAACTACCTCTAATCAGCACTATATGTCTGTCTGTGGCACCTACCTGAAAATTTAAGTGATGGTCCTTGGCCTCCCAAGAAGGGGAGTGTTCCTGACCCAAACCTGTTTTAGCACAATTAATGATAAACCAGTGCAGGGCAGCACGCCCTGTGCTACTTTGTCTTGGCTTAATGCCAAACACCTTTTAATTGTATTTCCAGTTTGATGAATTTGCCTATTCTCTGTCTTAGTAGCAGTGGAGCCAGTAGAGACCTGGCTCCTCGTCTCTGTATATATTCCCTTGACTTGGTGTTTCAGAAGCGAGCAGTTCGTCGGGAGACTGCTTTCTTAATAACTAAGCAAAACTTTCTGAGCAGTGCGGCAGCTGTAGGTGGCAGAGATGAGTTTGTCCCTTGCAAATTGTGTCTCATGGCCATCTATATCCACTGGCATGGATCATTGCTGCTTTCCCTCCTCCTGCCTTCGAGGGGAGAAGGAAAGTGTCGCCTTGCAACAGCAGACAAATCAGCTGATCCTCGTGGCGCAATGGGGTGGGTTTCCCACTGCCATCGGTGGATGCAGTTTGGGGCATTGCAGCGTGTTACGCAGATCTCCTCATCCTTTTACATCTCTGAAGGAGGGTGATGGGGTGGTTGTGGTCTTGTACTTTTGAAAGGCAGTGTGACCCAGTGCTGAAAACATTGTCATTATCCTTAATTACACTAGGAAGAATCCCTGGGCAGAACTATGGCAGTAATCTGCTTCAGCTCCTGCACTAAAGTTTTTGTTACTGGCTTCCACCTTAGCAGAGTCACCTACATCAACATCTAAAGTCATCCTATTTGTTAATGTACCCAACTCATAACCTCAGTTGGGGAACCTTTTTCTTAGTATTGCTAATTTGAAGTTGGAATCTTAACAAACAACAAAAAAAAAACCCTACTTTTTTTTTTTTTTTTTTAAAGAGAGAAAAATACCTGGAAAGGTGGGCATTGGGGTTTTACAAAAAAGTAGTATGAATTGATATAACTACTTTAGAGTAGAAAAAGCTAGGGGAAGAATGAAAATAAATTCAGGGCAAAGAATATTTGAAACTCATTATTACAATACCACATTAAAAGCTCAAATATTTTTGATCTTCAAGATATTGAAAAAAAAATAGTATATGTAGATATTAGTATATTAAATTTCTTAAGTAATATAAACTTTAAATATATTGTCTCCTAGCATTCTAAAAGTGATTTAACTCCTCTTTAAAAGCTCCTTAGTTCTGAGGCAAGAGAAGGGAGGCGTATTTAACAGGCATAATATTATAAAATAAATTAAAAGTATGAGATGGTAATTTAGGATTAAGTATATCTGAAGCTTTAAAATAATCTTGATGGAATGTGGCATTTCACTTAAATATAAAATATGTCGGCTTTAGCAAAATGTGTAGTGTGTGTGGTTTTCCTTTTTAGATAACTAAATCATTTCAGTTGTATATCCCACACTTCAAAAAACAACCAACCGTTCATAAACATGTTTCTCAATCTATGTCTTCCTTAGCCAGGGTAGCAAGGGGAAGGAATAAATGAAGTTTTTAGTGTTACTGACTTAGGAATTGCCTTCCCCTTCTAACCTCATCACAAACTGTCAAAAAATGTCAGTTGACCCCCCCAAAAAAAAAATCTGCTTTAGAATGGATCAGCTCCTTCAAACTAAGATAACCTCTGTTAAATTACACGTATCAAAAGTATTTTTGTGCGTGTTTTTAGGGCACTAAGAGAAGCCTGCACCTCTGTTGAAGTGAGATATGTGAACAGATGGTGTGTTTGTCATTATCCTTCTATCAGATTAGTGTACCTTGGATTTTTTTCCAAGATAGTGTTTTAATACAAATCAGTTGGTGAAGAGCCTCTTACTATAATGTTGACGTTGATTGGGATGTGCTGCCATCTGTTTTCAGTGCTCTGCATTTTAAAAACATCCATCCCTACCTCACCCAGACAAATCTCTTGATCTTTAATAGGATCAACAGGGATATGAAGTTGTTAGTTTGAATTTATTGGGTTTTTTAGGGAACTTTTTGAGTATTTACTGTTAAGAATTCACACTAATGGAAAATAGCACAGCCCTCTTGAATTAGGGGAGTCTTACTGTGAAGATAATGAGGAATTAAACCAATTTTTAAACTGTCTGTGATTTATGTCAGTAATTAGGAGCATGGTCGCCTGTCATCTCTGAACTATTTTTAGTTGACACTGAGTTTGAACTAGACTTGGGCTTCTAGGTCCAGAAGAATTAGATGTGGAGGTCAGCGGGTTGTACAGGTTCAAGGGTCTGGCTTTATCTGCTGTGGACAATTTTTTTCCTTTTGTGCACACAGGAGGAAGAACCCAAATCTTGAAAGGTGGTGCCTCCTAATAAAATACATTCTAGCTTTTCAGTACTGTTACTGGAAGGATCTAGCAATAAAAATCTGATGGTAGGAAATGCCTATTAGTTTCTAACTGAGGAGGAAATAATTTCCATATTCCACACTCAGCAGGAGGTGTGTTACGCAATATAGTTTACTCTCATTGATGGTGTAAAGGTTGACAAATTATCAATTTTTATGCTTTTTATTGAAAATTATCTAAGTATAGAAGGAAGGTAAAATGTGGAAAGTATTAATTGCTATTATTATTAATTGGTATAGCTACTACAAATATCTTCTGGACTAATTAATATATATCTACAATACCCTATTTTCTGCCCAAAATAAAATGTACAGTAACATTAATATGACTGATGTAGGAATACTTTAGACTAAATATTGCTTGTCTACTTGGAAGATACTAGATTTCAAACATTTAAAGTCTTTGGTTTTGTTGTTGTTGAGAATCTGTGAAACACTGGCACAAGTTGCCCAGAGAGGTGGTAGAAGCTCCGTCCCTGAAAACATTTGAGGTCAGGCTGGACAGGGCTATGAGCAACCTGACCTGGTTGAAGATGTCCCTGCTCACTGCAGGGGGTTGGACTAGATGACCTTTAGAGGTCCCTTCCAAACCATTCTATGATTCTATGAAGCATTCTGACTTACACTAATTTTTCAAAGTCTGTTACGTTCTCACTGGAAACTTTAGTCCTGGCTTTTAGGAATTAATTTACTTATGATTTAATTTAGAATAAGTTTAGGGAGTTCTAGCATTTGAGATTATAAAACCTGTAGTGAAGCTAAACTTATCAAAACCTAATGGAAACAGCAACAGGAAAGACTGTACTAATTCCCAGGTTTTAAATTTGGCACTTGTTACATTGTGTGGCAGAGACTTAGTTCATCTTTGATGTCTGAGCTCTGTTGAGTAAGTCCTTCTCCTGGTCAAACCTGACTCAAATCCTATTTAAGAATGACGTCCTCATGAATTAGTCTGTTTTGATTTTTTTCTGGCTGGGCATTATGGGAGTCATAAGCCTATGCAGGATAGCAGCTTGTCTATATAACCCAGTATCCTCCTGGAACAAAGTAGAAACCATTACTGTCCTCTGTCTGACTTGCTGGATTTATCACCTTGTTTTGCCTAAAGATGGTGCTGGATATGGAAGATACAGCTTACCTGCTAAGTAATGCAGTGAGTATGCAGAGGAATGAATCTCTAAGGAGACACAAAAGTTGAAAATTAGTGTTTAAGTGGAGTATAGTTCAGATAGCCGCGATGCTCAGCTCGCCCAGTATACAAGCTGGAGGGAGGATCTTGGTTCATTTCTGTGATTGTAACTTAAAACTGATATAAAGGCATAATTGCAAGGAAAATAGGTGAAATATGGAATGGTTTCACCTAGCATCCCTGTTTTCAACAAAATGTGTGATTTATTCCATGTATCAAATTAAGGAACTGAAATTTAGATCAAGTTACTACCTCAGATCTCTGAAGAGCTTTGGGCTTTGGTCTGTAAAGGTTTTTGCTGAGACTGTGCACCCCTGATTTCTACAGCATAATTTTTAATAAATTTTATTTTAACTTGAACTTTGCCTCTGGGCATTACTGCATGGAGCAAGTCAAGAAAACCTGGCAGCAGCAGTCAGTACACTGTACGGAATGGCGTGGATATCTGTGTCCTGTACATGAAATAAGTATTCTCATGGAAGGCTAAGACTAGTTATTAACTATATATTGCTTTGACTGCTATATGGGTGTAATGGTACTGTAAATAAGTGTCATAAATAACTTTTTTGTGATTCCCTCTATATGTGTTAGCAATATAGCAAACTGTTTATACACATCAAATGCAAAAGAAACAAAAAATTGTTCCCTATGTTGTGGATCTTAGTATGACCCAAGTCACATCTGACTTACTTAGACATCCAATGAATAAAAGATGGTACTCAGGGGGTCTTTGATGTGATAATAAAGGTGTCCTTAGCTTTCAGATCATTGAATACTACAAACTCCTGTTATGTCAAAGAATAGCAGTAATAGCTTCTTAATGTAGTTTCTCTGATAATCACCACAAGCATGTTGTGGATATGCTGCTCTGTAGCAAACTTGAGGCAGTTGGTTTATGCTCGGGTCCATACATAGCAAACCATAAAACTAACACATGTGGTTGTTGTGTTTATTGGGGAAGGCTGCTATAATCACAAGGCCCCAAAGTGTGATAAGTCTTTATGGCGAATACAGGCTACTAAATACTGCTTGCTTTGGGGAATAGTAGTTATTTGCTGAGTTAAAGTCCTTTTCCTAGAAAACAGAAGTATTTTACCTTGGCAACTTGCACTTTTGCAAATGTCGACAGTCATAGTTGTAAACTATTGTTATTTTAGGTGTCGTTGCACCAAACTGATTGTTTTTTTTTTTTCTTTCTTATGCTGCCTTTTAATTAAGTTTAAAAACTATTTAACTATTCCTTCAGCATCTGGTTAGAGCTGGCAGCTTATGTGCTTCTGTAATTGTCTGTGGACTGAAGTAGGTGACAACTGAATGTAAGATGTTAGCAGAGAGGCCCCACCATGGAGGGAGAATAGGGTGTGTTAGCACAGGAACTGGGGAGACCCCCAGGGCTGTGGACAGACCCTGGGCTGGGGCAGGACTTCTGCTCATGATCAGATGGAGGTGTGCAGCAGTGGGTGTTCAGTGGAGCACTTGGACAAGCTCCCAACAGATTCCTCCTGTTCTTTGCCAGGAGCAAGATGTGGAGACTGTGCATGGCTCAGTCCATGTCACCATGTGTGGGACTCCCAGAGGGAACCGGCCAGCTATCCTCACCTACCATGACATCGGGCTGAATCGTAAGTAGCCTTTTTATATAATAGCACAGGTATGGTCTGGTTCCTTAACATTACTGCTCTAATCAAAGATGTGGAAGAAGTGATGGTTAGGAAACCTTTCCCAGGTCCTTGCTTGTTTGTGTGCTTTGCAACCTGTTAGATGGTACCTAATTCCTCTCTTTCAGCAAGTTTAATTCTCAGATTTTTTTTATCCTTGCAAAGTAAATAATTGGAATATTTCACTTGGAAGAGACAAAGATCTCTGTTAGGTCATAGTGACCGTGTGTAATTGCTGTAAAAGCATCTGTAGGGGATGGCTGAGGGTGTGTTGCCAGCAGGACTGAAAACAACATTGCTGGTGCTTTGGCTGAGGTTCCTGTCTGATAACCAGTCTTATGCTGCCACGAGTTTGTATGAATTACATGTCAAATCAGGATGATGAAATGAGTGCTCACATTGTACCTTAGCCAGTATAAATGCCTTTTATATTGTCCGTCATATCCAAGAATATAACGCCCTCACATCCAGATCTTCTCCAATTTGTTGTTTTCACCAGTACTGTTTGCTTCATACCATTTATTGTTTCTTAATCAGTTATCAATATTTACATTTAAAAACACCTGCAAACCTTTAAAGTTTGGCTATTGCTGGGTGGTGGATATTACTTATAAGAAAAAAAAAATCTGTTTTCTTGCCTGTTTTTTGTGGAGCTGCCTTACTTTATTTTGGATTTTCAGTGGTTCAGGGCAGAGCTTAATCTGGATCCCATCTTTGAATAAGACTTTTCTTTCTTTGTGGAGTTACACAGTCTGTCTTCATGGTGAATAAACTTTCTATCCCTTTGAAAAGGGAGGAACCATTTCCCAAACTTACATATTCTCCTGAAGCTGATTTTACCTAAAACTGTTTTATATTCCGCAATAATTTAGCTTGTATGTATGTTGTAACATAAGGACATTCAGAAACAAACACAGAATATTGAACCATTTTCTAGGCATCTCAAAAATGATGCTACCCAATTCATGCTTTCCACTCCAGGGGGAAAATATGCTAATCCTCTCCCCACATTAACATTGCTTAAAAATCATAAATCAAATCACCTCAAAGTTGTGAGCCTACAGCATTGAGTATACCAGAAGGATGCTTTTGTCTTGAGCTGCCTGCAGCAGCCAATCATGTAATGTTTATTCTGTAATATTTGGGCAAAAGCACAAGTCACGATCTCAGCCTTGGATACTTTTTTCCTCCATCTGTTTTGACACAATCCAAAGAGAAATGACTGGACAAGTAAACAGATAATTTCGTCTAAGCCAAAACATGGGATGAATACTCCTGACTGCATTTTATTTGTATTTTAACTTTGCATAAAGAATAATTTTTCGAGATTTTAGTGTACCAAGCAAATACTTCTGGCAAGTATCAAAATAACATGGATAAGCCTTAGCTGGCCATGAGGAAGGAGCTGTTCAGGGTTTTTGCTTGAAAGATTCAAAGCAAGTTGGCACAGATTGCTTTGTAGCCAGGTTTTACTAGTCTTTCCTCCTTACAAATAAAGGACTGTCACTTTTCCCAGGCTATAACATAGCTCACCTGAGTGAACCAACTTTTCACTGCCCTACAGGACAGGTTAATAAATGATTTTTATACCTGCAGAATTACTTTTTCCCCTCAGCATAATTATGCCATATTTTCTTTTCCTTCTTAAGATAAAACTTGCTTCAATCCTCTCTTCAACTTTGAGGATATGCAGGAAATCACCCAGCACTTTGCAGTCTGCCACGTGGATGCACCTGGTCAGCAGGAGGGAGCACCGTCTTTCCAAACTGGGTGAGTTGTCAGGGAAACAGCCCATGCTTTGAGTTCTCCTCTTTCTGGAAAAATAGTCTTGATCTGTGGTTTAATTAAAAAGCACTTGAAGCAGACACAGTAGCTGGCTTTTTAACTTAAATCCTGACACTGTTTCTAAGGTACTAGAGCTCTGTTGTATTGTGCCAGTTCATAGTAGACTTTGGGGCTGTATTTTTGTGTTTTATCTCTGATAACTGGACTGCTTTTAAAGCAGTTCCTTGACAGGTATCTCCATCTGTCAATTTAAATATCCAATTACCTTGTTTTGTAATGACATATGGAATACAAAAACTAAATCAGTACTATAAACAAGATGGGCATTAGCCACTATGTAATATACTTCCTAAATACATGGTTTTTATGACATGGCAGCATGGTAGATGTTGATAAATAGACTTGATAACTTACCTGGAAAATCCAAGTTATTGGACAGTAACAAAATTATGTACCTCCAGAACAGCATAGATACACAGTCAGGAGTATGCAGCTATCATGATGCTGTAACTCTTGGGAACCTTGTGTGTCACGAGCACTGTCTTTGCCAAAATACTTGTCCCATTTAGTTCAAATAAGAGAGATTTACCTTAAGATGCCCCTTGGATAGGAATCAGCTTGGTTGAGGAAGGGAGCAGCCCATGTGCTGAGGGGAGGGTACAAGGCAAGGAACAGTTGTTCTGTAAGAGCTAGGTATTAAGGAGCTTATATGTACCCTTGTTGCATGAGCCAGTCTATTTCCTTTCTTAATTTTTAAGCTGTTCTGATGCTGAGCAGGTCACAATGGGCCAAGTTCTCAGCTAATGTTAACTGCAATGGCCCAGTTGCCTACCAGAGCAGCCTACAAAGCTATTTCAGTCACCTCGCGTTGTATTTGTTTGAAGCACGAGCTTAAGTGTCTTAACTCTCATGTCCTGAACAAGCATTAACACTTTGGATTTATCAACTGCATCGGGCAGCCATCATGATCTATGCTAGTAGAGATCACTGCTTAGTAACATAGTGATGACAGCACAAGAAACTCTATTATCTCTCCCAGCCCTCCAGCTGGGAGACCAACGTGATCAAGTTAAAAGTCATAGCTGTTGCGATGGCTTTAGCTTTTGTCATGACAAGGTTTAGTTTCCCAACAGGAAACTCTAAAAAAACCCCAACTTAAAGTAGTTTTGTGCTGTTTGGGTGTTTTTTGTTGTTTATTTGGCTTTATTTTGGTGACTAAACTAGAGAATCATTAGCTGTAATCCTGATGGGAAGCAGAAATTTGGATAAATCCTAGGCAGTTGATCTTCAGCTACTTTGGGTGGATTTTTTTTCATGTGCTGCTCAGTTGAGATTTTGCTCAGAATTTCCTTCCCTCAGAATTTTGTTTCTGCTCTTCAGAAGACCAGGAACATTAACTGACAGCTGTTTTTATTGAACTTCCTCAGCAGCTTTGTAGCTCTTCCTATGCCTTCATTTTCTCCATCAATATTAATAGAAAGCTATCCTCATTTATTGTATGGTAATTTGTGTGTCCCTGAAAACGTGTATACAAATTATTTGCCAAAGATCTAGATCTCATTGCTGTAGTCTGTGATTCTGCAACATGGGGAAACTTTTTTTGGTGGACCAGAAACACAAATGTGGTGAATGTGGTTGGAAACTCACCTCTCAAGTTCAAACTCTTTCATAAGTTTTAAGTGTTAACTTCTCTTGGAGGAGATTCATTATGGTCTGCTGTGCTCTCAGCCAGACCAGACATCTATCATCCTGTAAATCACATAAAGTACCATATAGATTGTGCTCACATTTCTGCTAAATTACTTACTTGTGCTTGCTCCTGATTTAAATTCAGCTCATACTGTCAATGATCTTGTAATGAGTACATTTGGTATTAAATCTACAGTGACCACTGTGTCTCTAAATATCCCAGCCTACTCTACTGAAAGTGGTGTAGTAACTCCACAAACACATATTTGTTGTAGGTACGTGTATCCCTCCATGGATCAGCTGGCTGAAATGCTTCCTGGAATCCTGAAACAGTTTGGGTGAGTGCAGAATTATTTACTTATTTTCCTAATTCTTCTCTCTACTTGGCACACCTAAAGAGCAGGGCAGTGCAGATATTTGCCTGTGCTGCCCCTGAAGCTTTGGTCTGGCTGTCTATTTTGTTTGCTAGAATTACAGTTGCAGTTGTTTTTTAATTCCTCTGTTATAGATGGATCACTCTTGCCTTTGTTTCTGAAAGAGCTTATTTTTTGACCTTTTTTGAAATGTCTGTTTATTTTTAAACAGGAAGCAACTTTGAGTGAAATCCCATGTGCCTAATTTAGGGGCTTCCTCCAGTATTTTCTGTGTATCGCCCTCACAGGGGCAGGGCACAGACAATCTGTTCTTCCCACTGGAACAACCCACACTTTCCTGTGTGTTACCAGAAAAAAAAACCCCATAGTCCCATCTGAAGACACTTACTGTTTTTTTTCTGTGGCTTGAGTGTCTTAGGGGGTCAGTCCAACTTTCTTAATCCTCTACTACTACCGAGTGCAGATGCCAGGTTGTTGAAGTTGAAGGACCTGGTAGCAGTGTTCCTCTGTTGTTACCTACAACAAGTTTTAAGTGTGTGTCCTCCCTTAAAGCTTAGCTTTAGCAGGAACTATAGGAGACAAAGGTACCTTTCCTGCAGAGTTGGTGCTCCTGGTACACAACAACCAGTGCAGGTGGGCACCTCCAAGGAGTTTTCAGACCAAGCAGAGAGAACCTGGCCTTGGAGAATGGACAGGCTGGCGACTGCTGGCGGGGCTTTTAGTCTCAGACCAGCACCCCAATTTAGACATTGTTCAGTTGTCACCAGTTGTTACAGTACCTTGGACCAGTTTACCTCACTACCTTCTTAAGAGAAGATGTGCTTTTTGTAACGCACAGCATTGCCAGTTCTACTCTTGCACTGGAAAAAATGCTAACATAATGTCAGTATCTTGAAAATCAATTAAACTGGAGTGCACTTACAAAACCTTGATTTAATATTGCTAATGAGAATGAAAACTATCCTCGGGTGTTTTCCTAAAAGCATTGTATAACCTGTTTTTCTGAGTGGTTTTGTCTAGTCTTCCCTTCCATGTATTTTCTAAGACCTTGAAGGTGATGCTTTAAAACCAGTTTCAGTTAATGCAAATATTTGGTTTGTTTCTGCCCTGTTTGGTTATGAAGTTTAAACTTAATCATCCAGTGGCTGGATGGCATGAGAAGTTTCCCTGCCAGCCCTCTGTTAGAGAGGAATCCGTGTCCCAGTTGGGTAGCTGTATGAGGGAGGGCAGGGTGAGCCTGGGGAGGGAAGAGCTTTGTATTTAGACTGCAGATTTCAGGACTGTATCTTATAAGTTTTTCTGGCAGAGACTAACTGTTTCCTTCCAGGATCAGACCAATGCTATGGTTGCTCAGTATATTTACTTAAAGATAAGTGTGGATTGCTGCTGCCCTGCAATGCATGAGGACCAGTGTCCTGCAAATCTGCTGAAAACAAGCCAGTTGCTACGTCAAGCTCCTTTATGGGGCTGGTGGCATTGCTGAGGGTCCATGGTTTGCCCAAGCTGCAACCTACCCTCCTGTAGATACACACTGGCATGTGAAAGAGGAAGGCTGCTGATGTGGGTTTATTTAGTCAGTGCTGTCTTACTCATTTGTCTCTTCCGTTTTATTGCTGTGCAGCCTGAAGACCATTATAGGAATGGGAACTGGAGCCGGTGCCTACATCTTAACCAGATTTGCTGTAAGTTTTGTGGAGCTTCCCTAAAGCTTTGAACCTGATTTCCCTGATGTGTTGTCACTCCCGTAGCGTGCGCAGAAAATTCCTGCTCTGCCGTGCCCGTTTAAGTAAGCAGTTAGGCTTTTAAGTGAAATACCACAATCTGCGGGATAGCTAATCCAGAAGACCTAGATTTTCCATTTTAAGGCCTCGGCTCTACCCAGTTAATTTGCAGAAGGTTTTTATAATGGGAGTTCTCTATTTAAACTGAGGGTGGAGAAGAAGTTAAATCTTAATGTTCTCCAGCTGCTCAGTTGAATTGCTTTAATGAAAATTTTTTTTCCATACATATGCTTGTTTTGTGCAAGATAAAACTAGACCTACCGCCTTCCTCCCCAGGAGATAATTCACTAATTTAAATTTTATGCTGACTGTCAAGTTGCAAAGGTTATGTGATGAATCTTAAACCTTTTCTTTTGCAGTTAAACCATGCAGACATGGTGGAGGGATTAGTTCTCATTAATGTAAACCCTTGTGCTGAAGGTTGGATGGACTGGGCAGCAACTAAGGTAAGCATTTTTAAGTTAGAAAAGTAAATCGTACCGTGAGCCTGCCAAGCATGAGGAGCTGAGCAAGTTTGTGTGTCAAGGCATGGGTGCAGACACAAAATATCCTGGGCTAATTCCTTTGGGGTTTATTCTTCCATTTGCAAATATACCTCCTGCAGGGCTCGTGATAAAAATAAGTACTTTGAGGTAACTGATACCCATGGTATACTGGAGCTACTGGATATGGACAATTCTTAAGAGCTAGGAACTGCTGGGGAAAACCTAGTTTAACCTGGACACAGGGTAGGTTTGGAAACAATTTTCTTTCAAGTAAACTTCAAACATAGTGTAACATTCAGTTCATTCTTGTCCACAACTTAGTTTACCAGCACAGTCCAATATGTGAACTAGAGCACAGAAAAAATGTTCAAAACAACATCTTCCAGGTTTCAATCATCTGGCTGAGTCTTAGATGCCAAAAAGATTCAGAAAAGGGCATTAGCTACAGTAACTGTGGACAGATTGTCCATACAACCAGACTGTTAAGTGAAATTATTGACGTACAAAGAAGCTCCTGTTAACTGTATTCTTTTGTAGTTGTAAGAAAGACTGCAGTGTGAGAGAAGAAGTTCTGAGAACTGGTTTCAAAAATCTTCCTGAAACCAATATATATCAATATGTATAAATAGTGCATTACATGTCACTCACATTTAACCTGCTAAAATATTTTTCAGGGTAAAATGATGGATGGCACTTTGTATCATTCAGGGTCATGTTTAAATGAATGGCAATTGTTATAAATATTACAAGAAGTACAAAAATTAGTGTGTCATCTTTTAACCACACATAGAGTCAACCCATTTTAAGTGTCTAGGGTGATATTAAATGTAATGACAACCTTATAATACTAACAGATACTTTCCAGAGCTGGGATGTAACATTCTTTCAAGACTTAGTTACTAATTTTTTAAAAATAATTTTGCATACTAGTTTATTTTGGTAAGTTTGATCTGGAAGTGTAACTCCTCTGCGTTGAGATGTAGCGGTTGACTCATTTTGATTATCTCACTCATTGTCTCGCTATAATTAAATTCTTCGTATCTGTGCCTCTGCCTACCACCTCTCAAGTATTGCTGACCTTAGGAGTACAGTGGGTGGCCTGTGTCCTTCTGCAGGAGCACATGCTGTGGGACATGTGCTTTAGGTACCAGCTCCAACATATTGTCAGTGTGGGTTGTTAGTGAGGAGATTGGGCAGTGAGGTTAAATGAAACCCATCTGGCTGGTTTGCTTGGTGTTCTTGCAGGGAATGATTCCATATATACCTATGCCACTAGTAGTGTGTTCCCTATATAACTGCATTAGTAAAGACAACTTAGGAGAATGACTCAAGCATAAACATAAATCCCTAATGGCGTTTTAGTTGGACTGAGGGGAAAAAAATATCAGTCCAGGATATTGTATATATAAGGCCAGCAGAGAAGCATCCATTGGCCTACTTAAGGGTAATTGAAAGGTTTCAATTGTTCGAGGAGTGTTTTAATGTCAAATACTTAAATAATATTGCTGTTCAGATTTCAGGTTGGACAAATGCTTTACCAGACATGGTCATTTCACACCTTTTTGGAAAGGTAAGGATATTCAGAAGATTCCTCTGATATATTCAGTCATCTGTATTTACCTCCTGGGTCTGGGAGAAGGGAATAAGCCTTCACTTAAACAACAAAGTACACAGTTAAACTGTGAGATAGGAATCATACTTGTGTTCCCAGTATTTTGGAGGTGTTATGCTGCCACGGGGCTTGCTGTGTCCCGGCAACTCAAGTCCAACTCAGTCATGACAACTCTAACAGGGACAGCTCCCTACTAGACATGTTTAGACAGCCAACGCTTAAACATGAGT